TTTTCATCAGTAAATGTTTTAAGTCCTCTTCACTTTCAGCAAGCAAGGTTGTATCATCTGCATATCACAGGTTGTTAATGTGTCTTGCTCCATTACTGATGCCATGTTTTTCTTCATAGAACCCAGCTTCTCGGATGATTTTCTCCGCATACAGGTTGAATAAGTATGGTGAAAAAATACAACCTTGTCGCACACCTTCTTAATTTTAAACCATTCCATGTTCCCATGTTCTGTTCGAACAACTGCCTCTTGGTCCAGGTACAGATTCCTCATAAACACAATAAGTGTACTTTGAATTTAGGGGTTTTCTAATTTATGAAAGCAAGTATTGACCATGAAAATAAAATTTAGAAAACAATAACTTTTATTCAACTTTTGAATCAGAGTGGTCTTCTGATGTATATACAGCAAGCATATAGAATAAATAATGTCTTTAAATGTCTTTGAATTGTGATAGTTTTAAAGTTTCCACATTACCCTTAGAGATACCAACAATAGCTGGTGTGTTTAGTTCCCAGCAAATTATCCCTTTGGAATTAACGTAAAATAAGGATTTACTCCACAAAATCAATATCTGTTGTGCAAAAACCTTTATTCAAAGTTTCCCTGAGTTACCTTTGTCCCTAATATTTGACAACAGATGAACTGAAATGAGGCAATAGTCATCAGACGGTTCTAGGAAACCTCATACAGGGCCGCACATTGACTCGGCACCTAACAACAATACTGAATTTCTTTTTTAATATAGAGTTCTAAAGCATTGAGCTGTTCTTGTTTGTTAAATGTCATTGAGTTGATTTGATTCATAGCGATCCTGTATAAGGTTTCTGGGGAGCAGCTGGTTTGTTTGAATGCTGACATTGTGGTTAGCAGTCCACTGTTTAGCTTCACACCCAGATTCTAATGCATTGAGTAGAACTGCACTTTAAAAGCTAGGACTGTTCCAGTAATACTATGATCTAGCACAAATTTCAATTTCTGTTTCCTGTTTAGTAAATGTACACAAGATCAATGAAACAGCATTAGCACTTTCTGTAGACATTATACATAAACCCTTGTCTCCTCAGATACTTGGAATCCCCATATTTAAGAAAACCCTTCATAACTTTCTGATTTCAAGGAAGTAGTTAGGATCTACATGGGCATGTGAGCAGTGGTATACCCTTCTGAGTCCATCCACAACATAAGTTAGTAAGAATAAGGTATGTTGGAGATGTTGGGAGTTTAAATTGATCTATAGGTTGACAGGCAGATAATAAAGACCTAGGGGAAATACAGGAAAGGTAGAGATTCTGTGTGAGTAGTAAGCAGTTTCTGAGACTGTGTTGTCTGAGTCAGCCAGTGAAGATATTACTTGTCTTGAAGAACAGTGTGCATTTGAGGGGCAGCCTCCAGAATCACTTGAATATGTTTAAGAGACCCAGGGAAGTTGGGTGTTAATCTTTCTGTAGGAAATTTTCAACTTATTTGAAAGTGAGACAAGTTGGTCAGATCAAAATAAAATCTGAAAGCAAGAGAGGCACAGACTTTTCCTACTGAAAAATCTCCTTGATGATCTTTATAACTAATTGACAACCCCGTATGATACAATTTTCGCATATGACATTGCACATAATATCCAGAATGTTCTGCTGTCTGCTTTGCAGGGTTTCAGGGTCATGTGCTCTGCTTTTCCCATGCTGAGCATCAGTTCAACTCCAGGGGACTGCTCTTTCCTCTCCGGTCAAGGTTCTGCTGCACGCTGTGTGTTCTGTTTTGCTAGGCCTGACTCAGAGCTTTGCCTGGTATAGATTGAACTGTATCCTCCCAAAATATGTGCTATAATCTTTATACCTACTGATATAATCTCATGTGAGAACATTGTTGATATTATGCGCCATGGAGTGAGTTCCAACTCAGAGAAGAGGGCTGGTGAATTTGTTCCTGCAACCTTGACCTTCAAGCCGACCTTCCAGTTCAGTGAATTATCTTGCAGCACCAGACCAGGACTCCATTTGGGAATAGAGAATTTGTTTGTTTGTTTGTTGGGTTAATGTTAGGATACCCTACCATTTTAAGGTGTATCCTAAACCTACTCACTTTTCAATTATGAAAGAAGAGATTAGACATAGAAAAGAATACAAACAGGCACAGATAGGTGCACATGATGCTGTGAAGTAACCAAGCAATGTCTGGGTTACAGAGATTACAAAAGGGATGAGGATAAGGAGTGAGCAGGTCACACTCAATGTTGACTTCTAGCTTCATAAATTGTGATGAAACACTGTCATGTTCTGTAAAGCCCCCTTGCAGTGTTTCTGTTACAGAGGCACTAGCTCACTGATATGCTCACACAGTGCTTAGGAGAATAGAAGGAGTATTCTTTACAAACCTGTCACTTGTTTCTCTCTCTCTGTCTCTCTCTTATTTTCTTCTCTGTATTAGTGATGTAGAAGCCCTGGTTGTATAGTGGGGTCCATACTGGGCCCTAACCACAGGGGGGGCAGTTCATGTCCATCAGACACTCCATGGAGACACATGAGGGTTTCTGTTCCCATAAAGACCACAGCCTCAGACACTGTATCCAGGCTTGCTCTGAGTTGGACCTCACTCCACAGAATATAGCGACCCCCCACCCTATGAGAGATTTATAACATATTTTTTGACAATTTAGGAATTATTTTCCTTCTTTGTAAAATTAGTGACTTTTGGTTTAATAAAATGGGTTTTTCCTAAGTGCCATCCAGTCAGTTCTGACTCATAATGACCCTGTGTACAGCTTCCTTAGTACTGCTGATGTATTTGAACCACTTACCTTGAAGTTAGAAATCTAGTGCATACCCTACAGTGCCACACCAGGACTCTTAGAGGGACTTCAATTAATTTCTGAACTCTAAATAAGATTGATTAATGCATTTTCAAGTGAGGGATTTGAAAGGAGACATCTGAAAATTATAGCTCATTGAGGACTAATCAAATGAAACCTATATGACAGGAACACAAGAAATGTCTGCAGTTCTTTTGTTCAGTGTCCTTGGGTTAATTAAGACTCATTGTGGCCCTGTAAAAATTGAGCTTCTGAGGAATGGCTCAGGGTTTGGAATGACTAACTTTGTGATTAGAAGTCTAGTGCTTATCTACAGTGACTCACAGGACTCCAAATGATGACTAGAGCAGGTATATGCCTCGAGCAGCTATGTTCCACACACGTCACTAGGAACCTCTCTTCTCCTACACTGACTTAACTAATAAAAGTGAGTACCATGACCACATAGACCTATAAGTCAGCAAGTCAGCCAACACACTGCTAGTTTGCATATATTTCCCCAGAGACCACAGAAAACTCACAATTACATTTAAGGACGTTCATTATGAGAAGACATGTGTTTAGCCTGTCACAGGGTTCTGCAAACATAATGGATTTTCTAATTTTCACTCTCCTTCTGCTCACTGTTACAGGTAAGAAAGAGAAAAATCTTTGAACTTACATCTACTTTTTCATCACATTATGAGTCTAAGGCTTGATTTTAAATAGCTGAACCTCATAGTAGATCTAAACATTAGACAGTATGAAGATATTCTTGTCTGTCTGTTTCTACTAATATCTCTGTCTCCAATACCCATCTCCTTTGTGATCACAGGATCCAGTGGAGATATTGTGCTGACCCAGTCTCCAGCTTCCATGGCATTTTCCCCAGGAGAGAGAGTCACCATGAACTGCAAAGCCAGCTCAAGTGTAAGCACTAGTTACTTACACTGGTACCAACAGAAGCCAGGAGCCAGTCCAAAGCTCCTTATTTATGGTACATCCAACCTGGCCTCTGGGATCCCTGGCCGGTTCAGTGGCAGTGGCTCGGGGACAGATTACTCTCTGACCATCAGCAGCATCCAGGCAGAAGATGATGGCATTTACTACTGTCATCAGTGGGACAGCAGCCCACCCACAGTGTTAGAGACTGGAACAAAAACCTCCCTCACTCCGGAGCACACAGCTGCATCCCCTTCAGAGTCTATGCAGGTTCTGACCACTGGTTTCAGTGCGTCTCACAGAGACTGGAGAGGAGCCTGGGCTTAGGGGACCATTCAAGTTTCTTTTCCGTCTGCCTAAGGAGTCATAAGAATCAAGGTATTGAGAATTAATATGTTTTCAAATGGAACCAGTTTGGTGTCACACTGTGCAATTAATGAAAAGATTCAGGTGCTGTACAATATCTTCAAATAGAGAATTAATCTTTTGTAAAATTCCCTGATGAACATGTGCATTTGGTTCCAATACTATATGTTCCATTTACATTTAGTGACATCACAGCAATGTTAAACCTTCTAACAACACATTTAACATGGACAGCAAAGAGACAACTGGATTTACAGGATTAAAGAGGGAAATGCACACTAAGAGAAGATCAAACCCTCCTGTGAAAATTAAATAAACAAAAAAGGAAAGAAGAAAAAAAATGGAAAAAAAAAACTACATAGGCTATCAGGTCTCAATGACAGAGACGTGCTAATAACAATGTGAACCCCAAGAAAGCCAGAAAGACTTTCGCAGATTTTCACTGTGGTTGTTTCTCTATGAAAAGTGTACATATTTTAGCTGACAAAAATACAACGCAACATCTTCTAACTCTGAGGCATTGCCTAAGTCGGTTTGGGACCAAGAGTCCAGAGAAGAAGCATCTTTAGTGATGAAGTTACAAGTTAATACAAAACATGAATACAATGATTACTAAGTCTCAAAGAAAACATTTCTGTAATGTGGAGCCCAGAGGAGTAGAACGGTAAGAACCTGCAACCTCATCTTAGTGTTCTGACCTTCACTTTTCAAGCCACTTGAATAGCAGTTGGACGTGTTTATGGGACTCAGTAATGAGGGTGTTAATCTGTCTGTGAAAATTAGAAAATTATATGAGAGTAAAAAGTGAAAGGTGGACATAAAAATCAGAGGAACTTCTGGTGTGGATGCTTTCTATTCAAAGAACTAGAAATGCCTTCTTCTAACTTTATAAATAAATGACACTCCTCTTAGTACAATTTTCCTGCACATCTTTTCACATCCACATATAGACTTTTCTGTTTTTGCTCTGCATGCGTCACATGACCTTTATCTGACCACCCTGTACTTTGCCTCATTTCCAAGCTTTTACCTGCCGCTCTGACACTAGTCCATGTATAGAGGATGAGAAAGTTTAACCTTGTTACCAAACATCTTAGTGTATACCATATTATTTTTGGAGGGGTGAAGTTGCTTCTTGCTTTTGTCTTTATTAAAATCATGAGAGGTGTTTAAGGTTGTTTTTCATTATCACTTGCTGTTAGGTGCCATCGAGTCGGTACCAACTTATGGCGACCCTATCACAACAGAACGCAACACTATCAGATCCTGGGTCAACATTATCCTCTTAATGCTATCTACTTTGTTCTTCATCTCCCCTCTCCCTTTTTGTGTATTACTCTCCCTTTCCTTGTAAATTGCCATCCCCAACTCCCAGCTGCTTGTGACTGTCCCCTAACCCTCCCTCCCACCCCTTTAACCAATAAAGATTTTTTTTCCTCTTAGTATGGGAACCTTTACTTAAGCTTTTACAGTCATGGTCTTATGCAATATTTGTCCTATTATGACTGACTAATTTCACTCAGCATAATGTCCTCAAAGTTAGGCGGTGGTTTGAAGCATCATTGCTATTCTTCAGGGTAGCATAGTATTATTACGTTCTGTGTACGTACCAAAGCTTGCTTATCTATTCTTCCATTGATGGGCACTTAGGCTGTCTCCATCTTTTTTTTAAATGTTTTTATTGTGAATTATGTGATAGTTTGCAGGGGAGAGCATTGGTTTTATATTTATCCTATCGTATATCGTTTCATTGCCATGGTTACAATCCCCTCCATGCATCATCACCCAACCATAAGATATACACTACAAGCCTGCCCAAATTCGTCAGCACACAGCTCTTCTCCCTCTCTGTGTCTAAAGTCCCCAGCTGTTCCACCTCTCCACGTCATTGTCTCTGCCTCCATCTCAGGCATCACTGCTTCTCTGACTAGGGTCCCGCTCTCTGCTCTTTTCCCTTGATGGTCCCAGGGACCTCCGCTCCTAGACTGAAAAGTTAACCACTCCCCTCCTTGCTACAAAACATCTACCTTTACATTTCCAACCCTCACAATCAGTCCTGATAACAATTAT